CTAAGTTGTGGGGCACTGTAGGGTCTTCTATTTGTCAAGTTGTTGGGGCCAAAAAATAAAAACAAAAATGGTGAACATATGACATGGTCAAATTGTGAAGTAGATTAAAGTTGTGGTTATGAATGCAAATCTGAAGAAATATATGTGTGTATAAATTATAAAATGTAATGTCGATAAAAAACACGTGTGAACGACAGATATCTAATCCTAGAATCCCGTTTGGTTCGGTCCGAGAAATTCTGGCCATCAATGGCGAAGATTGTGGTTACTGATTCTGGATTTCCAATGTTTGGGGTGAAGCTCTCTAAGTACCCCGAAGAAGAAGATCCTAAATCCAGACGTGAGCGGTAAGTTCGTGTTCCTGATTTTATACGCCATGAATTGATTGTTCGTGTTATTTGCTCAGCAGTTTTTTCAATAGTTTAGATTTAAGATATGATATGTTAATTGGAGGCGAGCTGCACATTATTTTCGTGTGAAATTGAATCATGGATGTCGCCGTACTAGGGTTTATTCAATTGTTTATCCGATTTATTTAGTAATTTCGTCTTGATTTGATTGTAGATCAAAGCTTACTAGGGTTTGGAACTACTTTGAGTAGCTAGTTTTTTGTATCTTGGGCACGTGCTGTTTATAGACTCTCTCTCCATCTCTCTTATTACTAATTTTGCTTTCCATGTGTAACATATGCCGTGACATCTGCAGTGAACAGCGTGTGGAGGAAGAATTTCATGGATATTCAGAACTTGCGCTGAGAGAATACAACAGGAAACATGTTGTTCTCTCTGATCTTATTTTATATCATATCGCTATTCGGCTTATAAGTTTGATTTTATATATTTTTTTAAACTTGTAGGGGACTGACTTGGTCCTTTCAAAGCTTTTGAGTTATGAATCTCATGCATCGTTCCGTGGTTTTATGCTGGACTTTGAGAGAACGCATTCACTATGGCATCATATTAACTTGGTGGCTGAGCGAGAACATCCTGATGCCTCTGATAAACCACTCATTTTGTTTGCCGAATTGTATACGACTTATTATAATCAAATTAAAGACACCGTTCCTACACGATTGGTATTCTTGAAGCCTGAAGATAATTGTAATGCTCGTCCACCTTTATTTTTGTGCTCCTCGGTCATATTTTTTCCGTTTCCTTTTTCTGTTTATAAACATCCAATGCTTAGTACATGCATATTATCAAGTGATTCTGGTGGTTCTGTCTTCTATCAAAATACAGTTGTGTATCTTTATTGCTTAAATATTGAATTATTTGATGCCTGATACAGTGCATGGTTGTGGTGCATATCCGTGTAAAATTCGCATTCCATTTCATCAATTTCGTGCTGGTGTCATTGATGATTGCCCGGTTGAAGCAGCCTGGAACATGAGTACTGTCCTGACAAGGTCCATGAAATCTGCTGGGTGAGAGAGGCACTTCTCGTTTCCGTAGCTTGTATTAACGTGTTGTTACAATTTTTTGTTAAGTTTTGGGTAGCATTTGTATAGTTTCCACCTTTTACGTGAGGTTGCTTTTGAAGGTTTTGTAATGCCAATCTCTTTTTTAACCTTGAATTGTTATGTAGCATTTATCTTCATAATATGAAGGTATAAATGCGTGTTAATTAGTTCTCTGAATTCGATTTACTGTAGTAATCTATATAGAGGCAAACAGTTGAATCTGTTATTGGATGCAGGGTGTGCAAGCATAATGTTGATTGTTACGGGAAATTGACCAAACGACAAAAACAGGAAAATGCTGCCATGGCGGAATTTGCTTTAAAGGAATACAATCAGCAACATGTTTCTGTTCTCTCTGTCCTTTTTCATCCTTTTCTTTCTCCCTCAGTCAGTCTTACATAATTTTTTTTTTTCTCTTTATGTGAATTAGGGAACAAAATTGGAGTTTGTGAGGGCTTGGAAGTGCGAGACGTTTAAAAGCACTGGTCTTGTTAAGGACTTCCGTGAAAAGGAAACAACTTGGACGCATATGAACTTTGTGGCTAAGCGGCCCAGACGCGCTGAACTCATTGAACAAGGTTTTGATAGCTATGAAGAAGTAATTTTGTTTGCTGAAATGTATTTGGAGGATGGTTACGGTTACTTGCTAACTACTCTGTCAGTCTTGATTCCTGGAACTAAGCGTAATGCTCTATCTTTCTCTGCTGTATAGTAATTACTTTTCCCGTGTCTTTTTTTATATGCATGCATCATCATCCACATTGAGAAATCTAAAACCCGGCGTGTATAAAATTTTCTCCTAATATTGCAATTGCAGATTTGGGTTTAGTCATCTGAGTTATTGTAAGATTGCTCTAAATACTTTGATTTTATTTGTTTGCTGCAGAAATTGGATGTGCATACTGCCCTCCAAGCGTTATACATCCAAGTTTCAGATGTTTTAATTAGAAATTTGGGTGAAACTTGAAAGACTCCTGTATATATTAAGGTGAAGTTATTATGCAATCTTTTGTTATAATTAGGTGTGATTTATGGAATGAGCTGCCGTACTCTGCTTGTTAAGTGAAGTTTTAACTCGAATTTAACAATGTTTTGTTTGCCCAGCTGGTGGTATGTTTTTTAGCCTTTTAGTTTTTATCGTGCGATGAAGTTGTCTAGCAAATAAGAGAAATTCAATTGGCCAAACAAGTCATCTAGCAACCGGAAGGCATTAAATCTCTTTAGACCCATTACTTTTCTACCATTGTTTACCTGAAAACTCATATTGGTAGACTATATAGACCCGTAGCTTTTCTATAACCCTTCATAGATGTTGACCTTTTGGTTTTGATATACCAATCGTCAGAGCTCGAATAACTCAAAAGCAACTCGGTTGTTTGGACACAACTCGTAGCTTGATTAGAATATTTGGCCAGCCCCAAAAATTCTTGGGCAACAAGACATAAAGATCTTGGCAACTAAATAATCACCCTACGTGACCTTTATTTTAACTTAAACTTATAGAAATATTCTTATCAATGATGTAGAAGTATTGAAATGAACTTATTTATTTGAACAAGTTAATGTCACTTAATAGATGGATTGTATTTTCTGAAAGATATAATGTCAGTTAGCTCGTCTTCACTGACTCGAGTCTTTGTTCAACAAATCCAAACGATGATCAAAGCATTTAATAACGAATAAGTATCTAAGACAGTTTTACCAGAAAATAGCCCTAATTAAACATGACATCTATTGAACCTCAATTCCTCTCATGAGAAAAACTACTTGGGAGTTTTCTATAATTAATATCCACTTTGTCGAATCCCAAAAGGGCCAAAAATTATGTAGAAGTTCGACGAAAACGAGGATATAGAAAATAAAAGAAATTAAAAAAAACAAAAAACAAAAAAATAAAATAAAAAACAAAACATACAATTTTCACGTTTTTGGTCATAGTTATTGCAGGAACCGTCCTTTTATATAAAGGAAGTCCTAGATGACATTGTAAGAATATGCTGATGTGTTCTGGGCACATTCCTAGCCAGCTGCATAGCTCAGAGGTCCAAATGAAACTTCTCGAAACAGAATGCAACGACAACGGGTCCCAATAAATCCCCAACAGCACATCCTGCCAAAATTGTACAAAATGTACTGAATTTAGAGGGGAAACAATTGCGTAAATTATTAAATTATTCTTTTTACCAGTTTTCTCAAGTACACAGTATATGTATGTTCAAAGTATACCTATCCACTGTCCAGTTGAAGGGCGAATCAACAGTGCCCCAATCCCAGCACCAATAGATGCAAAAATGAGAGAGCTTCCACACCTAACTGTGGCACCGTAAACCTTCTTCCCGAGAATCTCAAGCTGATCTGCTGTATCAATTATCTCATCTTCTTGTGGAGATTTAGTTAGAGAAGAGAAAAAACGATAGACATCAATGCTGACTTGAACAATCCATGATGCCAAAACCCCAAGACAGTGACCTATTGAGAACAAAACCAACAAAGCAAATAACAA